CGTTGGTTGGGTCAGAGCGCGGGTGGTTCTCCCGCCGAAGCAAAAAGCCGTGTGTTTCAGGTGTCTCAATCCGGGGCATTTGAGCGCGCGGTGTCCCAAGTTCGAGGGTAAGGTAGAGGGAGCGCAGGAACGCTGCTTCAGGTGCGGAGGGACGGGGCACCGGGCGCGCGATTGCGCGAACTCGATTCGTTGCGCGGCGTGCGCGGAGGCCGGCAAATCACCGGTTGGGCGGTCCTTCGTGTTCGGCGCCTTCGGTCAGGGGAAAGGCCATCCGTTGGGGTGCGACTGGGGTGCAGGGGGGTGAGACGCGGGAAACTTCTTCGTGCGAGCCGAGAACGAACGGCTCTGCCCAGAGTTCGACGTAAACATGGGGAAGTTTCTTCAAGTCAATTTAAATCACTGCAGGGGAGCACAAGATCTCCTGCTCAATCAGGTGGGCGCGCGGGGGGTCGACGTCGTCATGATTTCGGAACCCTACGCCGTTCCGAAAAGGGGGGTAAGCCGCGACGGCTCCTGGTTCGGATCCGAGGACGGAGCGGCCGCGATACTGTTCTCGCACTCGGTCCGGACCCCGAGGTCTCGGGAACTTTCTAGGGGGGAGGGTTTCATTCTGGTTGGTTGGGGAAACGCGGTTCTGGTGTCCGCTTACGCGTCGCCGAACCGTCCCGTCGGTCAGTTCGAGAATTTCTTGCACGCGCTCGCGAGGGAGATCGATCGGTTCGGGGGGGGGGTCCCGTCCCACTCTCGTCTGCGGCGACTTCAACGCTAAGCACGTTTCGTGGTCGGGGTACGCAAACAACGCGCGCGGCCCACTCCTCAAGGAGTGGTTCGATTCGCGTTGTTTCGTCGTGCGAAACAGGAGGGGGGCTAAAACTTGCGTGCGGACCACCGGCGAGTCCGCGGCGTGGGTCTCCGGCTGGGAGGTCCTTTCCGATTTCGAGTCCTTGAGCAACCACGCCTACCTGGCGTTCTCGTTCGGGGCTCCTCGGAGCTCGGGGGGAGGGGGGTGCCTCTCGGTCCGGCGGTCCTCGCGTCGTCGTTCCGCCCCGGTGGAGCCTGAGGACGATGGACGAAGAGCGGCTCGTCGAGTGTCTCGCCGCGAAGTCGTGGCGAAGGGCCACCGTTTCGGGGAACGAAAACGCCGACGAGATGGCGCGGGCGATCCGGAGCGATTTGCATCGAATATCGAATTCGTGCATGAGGAGGGTCGGTTCGCGATCGAACGAGCGCAAGCGGCCTAAATACTGGTGGACGGGCGCGATAGGAGAGCTGTGGAAGGAGTCCTGTCGCATCGTGACCGATTCGATCTTGCTGGAGCTTAAAGCGGAGTGGCGAGATTCGCGGGTTCGCGTTCGCCGAGCGATATGGAGTTCGAAGGAGGAGAGTTGGAAGGAGTTCTTGAGCGAGGTCGACGCGGATCCGTGGGGTTTGCCCCTTCCGCATCGTGACGAAGAAGCTGCGGAGTTCGTCGGGGCCGCTGACGGCCGGCATGACGGGGGAGTTTCTCGCCGAAGTCATCGCGGAACTCTTCCCGCGCGTCGCGCCTTACGCGTTTCCTCCGGCGGGCTTCGCCTTCGACCGCGATCGCGACCGAGTGACCGAGGGGGAGATTCGCATCCTCCTCGACGCGGCATCCAAGAAGCGCTCGGCTCCGGGCTCGAACGGCGTTCATTATCGGATCCTCGGCAGATCCGTCGAGGTGATGTGTTCGCGTCTATCGTCGCTGTACACCGCGTGTTTTGAGGAGGCGTCGTTTCCGAGGCAGTGGAAGTTGGCGAACCTCGTGCTGCTAGAAAAACCGGGTAGGGACCCGTCGACGCCCGGCGCTTATCGGCCGATTTGCCTTCTCGACGTGGAGGGTAAGTTGTTCGAGCGCGTCGTCGCGTCGCGGATAATCGGTCACATGGGGGCGGACGGAGGGAGGAACGATCTCTCTCCGAATCAATACGGCTTCCGGGCGGTCCGTTCGACCATCGACTGCTCCTCACGACCGGTCACGAGTGGGCGGAGGTCCGGGATCGTGCTGAAACGGGACTTTGCGCAACGGTGGAGGTCATCCGGGGCATCGGACTTCGGGTGTCTCTGCCGAAAACGGAAGCCTGCGGATTCCACCGTGCGAGGAATCGGCTTCCCAACGGCCTGGCACTGTCATCTGGGGGAGTGAGGATCGGGATGGGGAGGACGCTCGGGTACCTGGGAATCACCTTCGACTCGGGTCTCACTTTTGGGCAACACCTCACGCTCCTCGGACCGAAGATCCGAGCCGCGAGCGCATCGTTAGGCCGCCTGATGCCGAACCTGCGGGGTCCGCGGGCGAGGGTCAGGCGATTGTACGCGACGGTCGTTCACTCCGTGGCCCTGTACGGAGCACCGGTGTGGGCCGAATCGGTGGCGGCGTCGCGGCCGCTTCGCGAGAGGGCGATCCAACTCCAAAAGGCGTCTCTGAACAAGGTGGCGACGGCGTACAGGGACGTCGCGGTTCGTCGACGGGCGCCGGCGTTACGGGGGGGAAATCATCGAGGTTCTTGGTCGCCGAGTGGGGGACTGGGTGGCGCGGGGTCACGGAAACTTGACTTACCGTCTCGCTCAGGTTCTCACGGGCCACGGAGTGTTCGGCTCGTTCTTGGCGCGCATCGGGAGAGAGGCGACGACGGAGTGTTGGTTTTGCGGTGCGCCCGAGGACGACGTCGGGCACACGGTCGCGAAATGTTCCGCGTGGGACGATCACAGGCAGCGGATGGTCGGCATCGTCGGACCCGACTTGTCGATCCGCGGCCTCGTGACTGCGTTGCTTCGCGGACCCCGGGAATGGTCCGCCGTTTCGCGATTTTCTGAAGCTGTCCTGCGGGCGAAAGAGGACCGCGAACGCGAGCGCGAAAAGTCCGGAGTTCGTCGTCGCATGCTCCGGACGAGTAGGTTTAAGGATAGGTTAACTGATAGGATTAAGGCTAGGTCTAAGGTTAGGTTAAGGTCTATAAATCCCGCTGATGAAGAAGGCGAGGAGGAGGAAGAAGAAGAAAAAGAGGTGGCGGAAGGAGCGGATCCGGACCCTCGTCATTGGCCGTGGGAGAGGAAACGTCGTCGTCGGAACGAGGAGGAGGAGGAGGACGAAGACGAAGATGATGATGATGATGACGACGGCGTCTTCGATTAGCGAGGTGCGGCGACAAACGCTAGCTTCGTCGTCGGTGAAACTTCTTTAAAATTTCTCGGAGGTCGGCGGTCCCGGTCGATCTCCTCTGTCTATCCTGCCCCCCGTTTAGTCCTCATTACCCGTTAGGAGAGAATGCGGTCAACAAAGTCTTCTCTTTCTTCCTTAATTTACCCTTTTGCTCAGGTGGTGAAGTTTTAGTCTATCCCCCCCGCCCCGGCCGCGTTCTCTGGAAGCAGGCGAGCTTTCATCCCTTTCCCCCCGCAGCGAAGTACCGGAGGACACTCCCGAAAGGGACTGCCGAACGTCCTGGAAGATGCGTCCCCATCTTCGAGGCGGAGACGGAACGAAGATTAGGGCGGATCTCCCCGACAGATAATCGTGTGGAACGGTAACGTTCTGGCTTACCGGAGAGGGGAGACTGAAATGTAGGTTCTACTCCCACGAGCGTCTCCCCCCTCTCTTCACATAAGCCACGCTATTGCGACATGCCCAGGAGTTTTAGTGGGTATGGATTCCCGGTGAGGCTTTCTTTCGATCCATACCGAGTCCCACACTCTCTCCTTTGTATGGAGGGGTTAGTGCGTAACCGCATTTCTCCTGGGTCATCAAAAAAAAAAAAAAGGGTCTAAAAGGACGATAAATTCCGCTGATGAGGAAGGCGAGGAGGATGAAGAGGAAGAGGCGGCGGAAGGAGAGGTTTCGGACCTTCGTCATCGGCCGAGGGAGAGGAAACATCATCGTCGGAACGAGGAGGATAATGATGATGATGACGAGGAGGCAAGTATGGAGAAGAGTACTCAAGAGTAAAATGCGACTAAGGTTGGGTAATACTTATTGGAAGTCAGGAGGCGTCGTCGATTCAGAAGACAATGACGACGGCGTCTTCTGTACGAATGATGAAGATGACGAACCCTCGTTACGTCATCGATAACGAGATCGATGGTTCGACGATTATCGATGGAGGTTGACGTTCGCAGTCGACCTCTCTTTCTACCGATTAGTAATCGTATTACTAACCCTAATAAACCGTTAGGGGGCGAATGCGATAAAACTAGCTCTTGACTATTTACCTATCGATCCACTTTGGCCAGACGACGATGTTGCTCACTCCCTTGATCGAAATCTCCGGAGGCAGGAGGCTTCGATTTATATTCTCATAAGTGGTGGGCGGGAGGCCATCTCGTAAGAGGCAGCCGAACGCCCGGGAACTCCGTTTTCAAATTGGTGAAGATGGAGGCGAATCTCAATAAAGTAAGTAAAACGTTCGCTTTCTGGCTCCACCGAACAGGAGACACTAGGTCTTACTCCGACGAACGTCCCCCTTCTTTAATTACGGAGCCTCGCCTATGCAAGCCTGTCCAGGAATTTTAAAGGGTAGTGGCTCCCTGGTTTGACTTTCAGTTTTTACCAGTGCTGAGTCCCTCACTCTCTCCGCTTTAGCCGGTGAGAGGGGTCTGTGCGTAAATGCATTGTTACCAAACGAAAAAAAAGAAAAGAAAGAGACAAGGATCCATCGAACAGCAAACATCCATCATTGTTATCATGTCAGAATCAAATGTAAAGATGGCTTTTTAGAACTATATTTATGAATCGACAGGTATCGCCAAATTGAAAGACAAATAACTGAACTTAAATTAGAATTAAAATCAGAATACCAACAAACATGGTTTCTCAATCACCCAAGAGTAAAACCGGAAGTACGTGTACCTGATATTTTAAATTTACAGAAGAAAGTTGTTTAGGAGAATTTATTATTATTATTATTTCTATTATTATTATTAAGAACTTTTTCACTGTTAAAAAAAAAAGGGTTGAAAAAATGTAATTTTTATACTGTTCATTCAATTTATGGGCATTTTCTTTCAACTTGAACTTTACCCCCTTCTTCATACTCTTGAGCGGAAATCCACATTTGTTGAAAGGTACCGATAGAGGCCAATATTGAACCTCCTATCCACGCTCCAAAACGTCTTTCGGCGGCTCCTCCGCATGCAATCATTTTTAATCTCATTGACGTTGGTATTCTAACACTGAGATCTCTGTTCAAACGTTCTGGAAAACCCTGAAGAAATGAATTGCCTCCAGTAACAACAACATTTGAATATAATGCTGGTCGAACATCAACATCACACATTCCAACACTTGTCGTCACAATATGTGCTACTCCTAACATTGTGTTGCCAACCATTCCTTTCATTTGAACCATGCTGGGATCAAATAACGCCTCAGGTATTTTAAACCTGCAAAAAGATAATTTTTAATATGATGTACATAATGATACACAAAAATTGTTTAACTTATCATAGGCATACCTTTCGCAGCTAAAATCTTGATGATAACCGTTTGGAAATTCGTAATGAACAGCTGGAATGGTGGAAACTTGTTTTTCGTCATATGGATTTTCAGCCACTTGTAAAACACTCATTTGAAAATCTTGAACGACTCTTTTTGTCATGTAATTGTGCCAAGATGATCTTACTTCAGGCAAATTACTTTTTTTCACCCATTTAGGTTTTTCCTTGTCTTTAACAACTTCTTTACTGCCAATCATGTAAGGAGGAATTACTTCAATGTCATTTTCCGTAAAGTATTGTTTGCACTGCATAGTTATATAATCTCCACCTAAAGGAGATTTAACTATTGCTTGAGACAAAACAAAACCATCTTGAACAGGTACTGCTGATGTGTGAGTGGCACCACTGTCTACAACAATGGCTGTCGATCTACCATTAGCGAAAGCAGCCAAAACAGCATTTTTAACGAGAAAAAAAGCGGGAACATTGTATTTTTCAAACATGAGTTCCATAAGTTTTTCTCTTTTGTTTCTAAGATTCCAGGGAGCTTCTGACATAAGAACAGGATGAAATTCAGATTCTGAATAAATAACTTTGCTATATGTGTAATCTAAAACTTTTTCAAATAAATCCCAATCCTCGATCATTCCATCTTTCATATATGTGGTCACATCGACATTCTTTCTCGGAACATTTAAATAAGTTGTGTCTATGTAATACTTTGGTTTACGAGGAGTGACACTAGAAGAATTAGATTTTTTCTCTTCTGCATCGAGACTTTCTCCCTTTGTTGGTGTTATACCCTCTCCAATGCCTATTTGAGCAGGTATTTCAGCTTTGGGAGTATCTTCTTGAGCATAACCAACTCTTAACGAATGATGACCAATATCAAAGACTAAAGCTCCAATTTCATCTCCTCCATACAACATTGCTCCACTCATTTTAAATTAAATAATAATAAACCTAAAAAATTAACAAAATAATTAACTTATGGCGAAGCCGGTTATGGAAAAACCTAACCTATACTTATAACATTCAAATTTCCTTATTTGTTTTATAAAAGTAAAATGTATCAAAAAAACTTTATAGAATTTATTATAATATATTTAAATACCTGGAAAAACACACAATTTTACTTTATAATTTATTTGTTTTCTTCTTTTTAAATTGAGTTTTCTATCCTGAGCAGAAAAATTTTTATGAGAGATTCTCTCAATCGTTTTGTTTAAATAAAAACTTAATTTTTTTTCTTTTAAAACAAATGTAATAATAATAATAATAAATTGTTCTTATAGTAAAAAAATAATAGTATTTTAAATATATATATATATAAAAAATTAAATTGTATAATTATTTACTACTAGTAGTTGTTTGAAGCTTCCCCAACGCGGAGTTGTTGTTTGAAAACATTTTTTTTTTTTTTTTGAAAAAATAATAGTCGTTGAGAGTCATTTTAATAAATACTTATTTATTTATTTTTTTTGATTTATTTAAAAAATATAATAATATTTATTACGATAATTTTTAATTAATTAATGTTTTAAAAAAAATTAAAAAAAAAGAAAAAAATTTTATTTTGGTGCGATGGCCGGGAATCGAACCCGGATCAACTGCTTGGAAGGCAACTATGCTCACCATTACACCACCATCGCAACATATTTGCTTACTCATCTGTTTTTTTTTATTAATAAAAATTACATTTAAAATAATTTTAAATGTTTGTAAAATGGAATTTTTTTTTTTTTAATTAAATAAAAAATGGAAAACTTTTTATGTGTAACCGATAAAAAAACATTGTCAGATGTCACGTGACAAAAAAATGTCAATCAATCAATCGATCAATCATCATTTAAAATATTTCATTTGCGAGACGAACACACAAAAATAAGTCCCTGTAATTTGCGATGGCGGGTTTAATGGCGAAAAAATTACTTTTCTACTTCCTTGTTAATCCTTTGTCGTGAATAAATTATAAACCTTAGTATATTGTGTGGAATTTTTATCGTAATTTCACAAAACAACCAATAACAAGCAAACAAACACGAATAACATAAAGATTAATGATGAATATCCGATCGTTCGATGGATCGACCATAATCCCACGTTTGACCACGACTTATACGAAATGAGAATTTTCCAGAACAAATACAATATAAATAAATTAATTAAAGATTCTTTAGAGATTTACGGATAAGGCGATAGAATAACCGAAACGACATGTTTTGTTTGTGTATTTCCTAAAAGGATTCTTTTACGTGTCTAGACAGAAGGAAAAAAAGGTTGATATACGATTACATAAATGTTTAATATTAAAAAAAAAAAAAAATTATTTTGGTGCGATGGCCGGGAATCGAACCCGGATCAACTGCTTGGAAGGCAACTATGCTCACCATTACACCACCATCGCATCTCATCAATTCATGAAAAACTCACCGAACCTGTACCTGATATTTTTTTTTATTTATTATCAGACTTTTTACGTTTAACTAAAAAAAAAAGCAGAAGAGAAAGCGTTATTCGATTCGAAAGTAATTTTTTTATAAAATTCAAGATTCATCATCATCATCATCATCATCGCATTACATTATAAAAGAATTTAAATACAAAATTATTATTATTATTATTATTATATACGTATGTATTTATTTTCTTTTGTGAAAATTAAAGGCTTTCAAAATCTTTTTCCTTCCTTCCTTTTACTCGTTTTATTTCTATTTAATAAATAATTCATTAAGATTTTAAATATATTTTAAAATTTTTAATTACAAAAAAAAAAAAAGGAAAAAAGGAAAAAAAGGAAAAAAAGGAAAAAAAAGTTTGTATAATTTTTAATAAAGTCAGCAAAACAATTGAAAATATAAAACGTCATCATCATCATCATCATCGACGACGACGACGATTCGTAGACATTTTTTTTTTTTTTTGTGTAATTAAATTTTGCTTTTTTTTAAAAAAAAATTTCTGCGTACGTGACATTTACAAAAAAAATGAAGTAAATAAACGATTCATAATAGGAATAATTAAAAAGTTTTTCTTTTTGTACCTGAACGTATATAAATTCACCTTATGAAAAAAAAATTTCGATGTTGACATTTTTAATTTAACTCGACGACATTTTAATTGTTTGTAAATAAGTAAAATTTAAAACGAATTTTCTTTTATCTTTTTTTTTTTTTAAATTTAACGGTCTTTTTACAAACTAAAACAATAATTAATTAATTAAAAAACAAAAGGAAAAAAAAAAATGACGATCTACGATCGATACCTGATGATACCTTACACGTGTTGCGATGGTGGTGTAATGGTGAGCATAGTTGCCTTCCAAGCAGTTGATCCGGGTTCGATTCCCGGCCATCGCACCAAAATAAAATTTTTTTTTTTTATTGGGTTGGCAACCATGTAATTGAGGATAGTTTGGGTACATGTTTGCACAGACGAAAACTTTTGATATATTATTATTTGGTTCCTTCTGTAACATTCGTTATTATACTGAACTCTTAATTGGGGTGCAAGCAAAAGACACTTAAACATGGGGAGCCACATTTTCCTTTTTTATTTTCTGAAAGGGTGTTAATGCTTTACAAGTCAATAAAAAGTTGTGGGCCGTGCAGGATGATAAAGGAGGCTGAAATGCGGGTCATACTCCTGCGACCACCCACCTTCCCCGGGGAAAAAAGCGCAGTGAACCACATCCAAGAGTTTTAGTTGGGTAGTGGTTACGGCTGAGTCCCCCCACACTCTCCTTGCTACCGGGTGGGGAGATTAATGCGAAATGTTGCATTTCTCCTGGGTTAACAAAAAAAAAATGGTGATGAAGCCTTAATAGAACGGGAGTGTCAAAAAACTGGTTTCCGAAATTCCGTTCTGGAGATTTTGCTTTGAAAAAAGAGGAGGGCTCTGATCGTCCAGTGATGACCAAATAAAGGCCCTCATTGATTAGGATCGGGATGGTTCGACAAGGGACACTGCAGAGAAGCTAGGTGTGTCACAAACGTGCGTGGAAAACCGTCTGCGGGTACAAAGAGAACGCATAACCTTGGGGGGTGTGGGTCTAAAAGGCGACTTGGACTTCACGATATGCGAATGACCCATTCTTGAAAGAAAGGTCATGAAAATTGGGTTGTGCATGACGAAGGTATATAGTCTACTATGAACTGCTGCTTCCAAAAAAATTAAATCGTACGCCATGTAAAAAAAAAAAAAAAAAATTATTTTGGTGCGATGGCCGGGAATCGAACCCGGATCAACTGCTTGGAAGGCAACTATGCTCACCATTACACCACCATCGCATTGATATAATGATGATACGGCCTGTGAGAATAACATCGCATAAATTTATGTTAAAAATCAAGTTTGTCGAGTGGCCTAACCTACAAACACATCCGAATACATACAAATTTTTCCTTTTAAAAAGGAAATTATAAAATTTACCAACCATTTTTATACTTTTCCTGCTTTTTATATTTTAATTTTCAAACGAACGCACACACGCACACGCACACGCACACGCGCTAAGGATAACAAAAACCCATCCATGTAAATAAAAGATTTTTATTTTCACAAACACGCAATGGAAAATACCTTTTTTAAAAAAAAGGAAAACAATTACGTTTTCACTTGACAAAAAAAGAAAATAGAAAAACGATTAATTTTATTTTACATTTCAAAGGAAATAAATAAATTTTAACCCTTTTTTCCTTTGTAGGTAAAAGGTTTTTCCTTTTTAAATAAATAAATAAATAAATTCACGTCGATTTTATTTTTCATTAATATATATATAAAATTTGCGGTTCTTATCCTCCGTCTACCCCCCCTTAATCACACGTGTCTTATTTATTTTTACCGATATTAGCACCATCACCACCACCACCACCCCCATCCCAACGACCATAACCACAATGATAACATCAATAATTTAAATAACTTATAAAATTAAGGCTCCATTTATGACTTTGAAAAAAAAAAAATATTTTGGCATACTCATTTTATTTCAAAATATGTAAATTTATTTACGGAAAAAAAAATGGGAAAATGGAAAAACCATTTAAGTTTTCATTTAAAAAAAAATTTTAATAAAGTTTAAAACTTTAAAATTTTCATTTTCATATTTAATTTCATCCACTAAAAAAAAAATTTTTATAAAACTTTTTGGATAAATTGTAATTAAAAAAAGGTATTACGCTATGCGTTAAATGCGTGCGTACGTGTGTGTGTGTGCGCGCGTAAGCGGAAAAATTCGTAAAGAACAGAAAATTTTCCAAAAAAGAAAATTTTTTTTTTCTACACCGATAAAAATTTTCATAATAAATATTTAAATGGATTTATTTATAAAGTCAAAGGAAAGGAAAAAAAAGGAAATTTCCTTTTTTCCCTTTCCTTTGACTTTATAAAAAAGAAAAAATTTCAATGGAAAAATTTTTTTTTTTATATAAATAAAAACGTTTTCCTTTTTTTTCTAAATTTTTTTTAAATATAAAAAGACTCACGATGATCATAATAACTTTATGAATAATTCATATCAATTTATAATTATTTAAAAAAATTGAAATCTTTTAATAAAATCAAAATGGTTTTTTCCTATTGATAAATAAATAAATAATTTTATTTTATTTTTTTTTCCTTATTAATTCCGTTAATTTCCTCTACCCTTTGATCCTCTCACCCGACTTTTGGGTCACCCCTCTCCCACATCCCTCCCCCTTCCATTTTCATTCAATTAAACTTTTATACAAGTTAAAAAAAAAGAAAAAGTTTTTATTATTTAATTCACGTGTGGTCGACGAAATAATAATAATAATAATAATTAATTAGATAAAAACATTTTGATAACGCGAGTATATTATCAACCGATAGTTTATATAAAAAAATTCTCTCGAATGTTTTTCGGATTATTTTCGAAATTATTCTAGAAAGAAAGAGAAAAAAAATGCGGTAAAAACACTTTTACCTCTTTGTGTGTTTGTATTTTTATTAAAACAACAACAACAACAACCACAAAAAAATTTGTAAGGATGGATTTAACGCCATAAGATTTAAAAAACGTTAAGAAAATAATAATGATAATAATAATTTTTTTCCAAGGGAAATCATTCCACATGTTATAAAAATTAATTCTTTTGAAAGGTTTTTTTTTTTTTTCTCGCTGTTGATCTGATTCCCGTTTTTTCCCTTTCATTCCTCCCAACCCCCGCCCCCAACAATCCTCTCCCTACGTATTTTATATTTTCATAAAAAAAAAAAAAAATTTTATGCCATCATTGCCAACATTGCCACCGCAAAAATAAATTAATTTAAATTTGTTCGATTAATTATTTTTTTTCAGTTATTATTAAATAAAAATAAAATTTTTTCCCTCTTCGGTTCCCCCCTCCCTCCTCCCTACCCTCTCCCCCATTTTTTTTTATTTTGAATTTTTTACGTTTTTATTTTTCCTTAATAAATAAATAAATAAATAAATTGAACGTCCTTTCAAATAAGTTAATAAATAACAAACAATATGATGGATAATTTTTTTTTATTTTGGGTAGTCAAATGAGAGAGAGAGAGAGAGAAAGAGAGAGTGCGTGGGTGTGTAAAAATAAATAATAATAATAATAATGATAATAACAATTGGTGTGAATTGTAAAATTTAATTTAATTTATTTATTTATTTAAGGGAAAGAAAAAATTATTTTTTGTTTATTATTATTATCATTATTATTATTAAAAATAATTAATTCTTTTTCCCTCCTTCCTATTCTTCCCGTTTCCACCCTTTCCCCTCCCCTCCCTAAAAAAAAAGCACAAAAAAAAATATTTGGCATTTAAAAAAACAAACAAATCATAATCAATATGGCGCATGATCGGAAAATTTTTTAAATAAAAAAAAAAAATTAAATAAGGAAATAAAGAAAAAAAAGAAAAAAAATGAAATGGCGAAAGAAGAGAAAGTAAAAAAAATAAAACGATAAAACATATTTTTATCCAGTTATCCAGAAACTTTCGAACGGGAACGTACGAACGAACGAACGAACGGGAGAGAACGAACTTGCGTGCTTTTTCGCGTTTTCATCATCATCATCATCATCATCGGGATGAACAAAAAAAAAAAAAAAAAAACAAGAAAGTGAAAAAATCGGAAAATTTTATAATCGCGAGTTTTTTTTTTAAAGTTATAAAAACTATTTTTTAAAAAAACGTGGAATTAATTTTGTTGTTTTAGTGTCACGTAAAAAAATTTTTGAAAAAAAAAAAAAACGCGGGAATAATTTCGCATAAATCGAATATAATGATCGTGTTCGTATAAATCGTCGGGTAAATAATTTTAATTAAATATGGCGGCGGATAATTTTACGTCATCGATATATACAAATAACATAACGACGGATTGTGATGAATTTTATCAATTCAATACATTATCAACGGTTTATTTTCAATCATTCGTTTATTTTTCCTACATAATAATAATGATTGTGTCCGTTATCGGTAACGGTTTGGTTTGTTATCTCGTCATGAGTTCCACAAGAATGAAAACCGTTACAAATTATTTCATAGTTAACTTATCCGTCGGTGACATGCTCATGACGTTTCTATGCGTACCTTTTTCATTTGTCAACATATTAATATTAATGTATTGGCCTTTCGGTGAAATAATGTGTAGGCTCGTGTCTTTTTGGCAAGGTGTCTCCGTATTTGTGAGTGCATACACTCTCGTTGCCATAAGCGTCGATAGGTACATAGCTATAATGTCACCCTTCAAACCGAGAATGTCTAAATCCACGGCAAAAGTACTAATAGGTACCATTTGGTTCACCGCGTGTTTAACCGCTTTTCCCATATTGATCGTATCTAAAACGTTCAAACCTGACGATCCTTTGTACGACGATTGCGAACGTTACGTTTGTCAAGAACATTGGGATTCGGAAAAGGAAAAATTTTATTATACCATTGTTCTTATGTTTTTACAATATGGCGTTCCTTTTTTCGTTTTGGTTTACACGTACACGAGAATAACTATCGTCGTGTGGGGTAAAAAAACACCCGGAGAAGCTGAAAATGCACGGGATCAAAGAATGGCGAAAAAAAAAAGAAAGGTGAGAATTATTATGTTTTCCCAAACGAACAAACATACAAACAAACACAAACACAAACAACAACAATAATAATTTCAATTCGAACATTTTTCAAATAGAAAATTTTTTTAAATTTATCGCACAAACGACGACATTTTTGTTTAAATGTCGACAGTTTTGATAGATTTAAATATGAAAAAAAATGTGTGTGTGTGTGTGCGTGCGTGCGTGCGTGTGTTTTTATCCATCCTGTGTCAATTCAATTTTTAAAAAAAAAAACATTTTGATTCCTTTCATCCCACATTTTCTCGCAAATCCTTTAAAAAAATTTAAATTCTAATCGAAATCCTTTGAGAAAATTTAAATTTAACATCTATGTATATATATATCAAAGACGTAAAAATTATTATTATCAATTAAATTTCAATTAAATTTCAATTGAAAATAAATTAATAAATATATATCCTATCGTTTTAGTCTTTTTCAAAAAAATTAACGAATTTCAAAGGATTTTTTTCCGTCCTTATTCTTTCCTATGAAAGAAAAAAAAGAAAACGATGACGATTAAAATAATAATTATTATTATTATTTTATTACGTAAATACCCCCCCCCTTTCCCCTCGAAAAAAAAAACCGTTACGTAAATTTGTCGAACGAACAATATTCTTTTGTTTATATATATATCTCTATGTAGTCATAATGTTTTGAATAAAGAAAATCTTAGAGTGATTCGACTTGTTGCTACTCATTACACGAATACATTTAATTATTTACTCTATGACATCTTTTTATTATTTTTTACTTTCGTTTTCGTTTCGTTTTTTTTTTTTTTTTGAATCAAACAAATTCTCTTAGAATGTAAAAAAAAAAAAAAAAAAAAATTAATTAATTTTCAAGTATTTAGAAAATTTATTTTATACCTATTATTATTATCATCATCATCATCATTATTATTAAGGTTGTGAAATTAATTTTAATTAAAAGAAATTTTTTTTTTCTTTTTACACAAACGAACGAGTGTACTTTTTTTTATTCTTCCCTTAATTCGAATCGAATTATTATACGTTTTTGAATTTTTCACGTTTTCCTTTTTTCCCCCTTTTTTCCTTTTCCTTTATAATTAATTCGAAAGAAAATTTTTTTTTTTTTTAAATTTAAAACAAATTATTATTATTATTAAAAGGAAAAGAGTGAAAATTATTATTATTTACTAATCGTTTGTTATTATCATCATTTCACCCGTTAGTCTCTCTTTTTTTTTAAATAATTTAAATTAAAATAATAATAATAATAATTTTTGTTTTATTTTTGACTAACAGTCGAAACTTTGTCTTTTCAACAACAACAACACAAAACAACCAGAAAAACGTTTTGTTAAAATGAAAATTTTATGTAAAAGTTATTAAATTCATTTTTCATTTCACGTTTTTTTTTAAATATGAAAAATAATATATGCGTATATCAAAAAAACTTTTTTTCATAACGAATTTCATAATAATAATAATAATAATAATAATAATACAAACCCGAAATAAAACAAAACGGTATTATTATTATTATTTGTGTGCGTTCGCAAAACGAAATTTTCTTTTTTTTTTCACCTTCCCGTCTTTTGACGTTATTATTATTATGTAATAAAAAAAATTTTAAAAAACGGTTTCTTTAAACATTCGTACAACGAGGAATTTATGTACATATGTATTATTATTATTATTATTATTATTATTATTATCGTTAATAATTTAACTTTATTTATTAATAAAAAAATAACTCGCGGGTTTACCCCTACGAGTTTAATATAAATTGTCGCATGTTTAATTTCTTCTCTTTCTTTTTTTATAAAAATTTAATATAAAGTAATAATAATAATAATAATAATAATAATAATAATAATAATAATTCTTTATGAATGATAATCTTTGCGGAAAAAAAAAAATCTTTTCATAAGCCTCAAACGTAAAAAAAGAAATAAAAAAAACATGGCGGCCGTGAGTGCGAATACATAAATGAAAAAAAATTAATTTGTTTTTTAACGTTTTTTTTTTCTTTTTTATCTTATTACGAAAAATATTACTTGCCTTTAAGCGTGTGAAAAATTCATAATCGAATGTGATGTTGACAATTTCATTTCGATTCACTTATAATAATTTTTTTTTTCTTATTGTTGTAGTTATAAAATAATTTCTTCCGCCATTTTGAAATCGAATAAATAATCATCGCGCGGCTGTTACAACAATGAATTACGTCATAGCATAATTTTTTTTGTCTCGCGTGACGTCACGTTTTTTTTAAAAAAAGCGACCCTTACGGTTTTTTCCTCAACTAATAAACTTTTATTATTTATTATTTTTTTCCGTTACGCGACGAAATATATGTCTGCCCTTTCCCCCTCCCCTCCTTCATAAAGAATTAATAAATAAAATTATAAATAAATAAATAATTTTAATTAGAATTCAATTAAAAAGCAAAAACTTATTAAATCCGTCAAATGATGAATAAGAAAAAAAATTGTTGTCGCCATTGTTGTTTTCGTCATTGGCGACGTTGCCATATTTCAAAAAGAAAATTTATAATGAAAATTATATAAACTGACACTCATTAAAGTTTTCAGTTTTTTTTTAAAAAAATAGAAAAGCTAAAATTATTATTATTAATTTGCATAAATTTCAAAAGACAAAAAGAAATATTAAACATCAAAAGGACGACGACGACGACATTTTTAACGGAAAGTTTTTTTTGGCTGGAGGTAACGAAAAAATTTTGTTGCTCAAAGTTATCACGTTTTTGTTTTTCACGAAAACTTTTTATAATTTTAATATAATATATATTTTTTAAAGAAAATCATCGTCGCGAACGATGACGTCATTTATTAATTTTCTTTTTCGTGGAGGGATGGGGGAAAGAGAGAGAAAATTTAAGAAAAAAAAAATTTCTTTAGAAAAAACTTAGCCGTAGCCACATTCGCGGCGGTAAATCCGAGAATTTCAAAAAAAATTAATAAATGACGTCATTAAATTAATTTAAAAAATTTCTAGCGGTAAAAACCGCGAAACCGAGTTTTGAAACATTTCATTTAAAAAAAAAAAAACCAGCTAAAACGATCGATAAAAAATAATTTTTTAACTTGATTAAGAAAGATTACAAAATGGCGGATTTTTTTCTCTAAATCGGCCATTTTGTAAACCTTTTGTATCCGAAAAAAAATATGATTTATTATTATTATTATTATTATTATTATTATTATTATTGTTATTATTATTATTGAAGGGAGGGGACAAAAAGACACGTAATCGACGACGATTTCTTTTTTTTCTCGTATCAAAAATAACGTATTACAAACCGGAAATTGGAAAAACGAAAAACGTGTGGAAATTACTTAAATAAGACAAAAAAAAAGTTTGATAAGATATAAATTTCAAATATATTTTTACAAAATCGTAAAATACCTTTGGGAAAATACCTTTGGGAAAAAATATTTAAGAAAAAAAAAACCGTTAAATTCGTATAACGTTTATGACCTTTTACCATCTTGTATTTAAAAGCTTTTCTTTTTCCATAAATAAAAAAAAAACTTGGCAAAAAAATCGCGAATTTTCCAAAATTTTTCTTTTTCTGTATGATTTTAACCGAATTCGGAGAAAAAAAAAATAAAAAAAAAAAACAATGATTCATATTTTCATCACGAATGAAATCCGCCATTTTTGTTTTCTGTTTTTTTTTCTCTTCTTTTTTCTTTTATTATTATTATTATTTTTTTTACTAAACTTTTCTTATTCTCTCATTTATTATTATTATTATTGTTATTTAAAATAAATTCATTCGTTTCCTTTTCAATTTTAATAATTAATTATTTTTTCATTTAGACTTAAAACTCGTTTAAAAAAAAAAAAAAAAATTATCGTTTGTTTGCAAAGTTTTTTTTTATTTTTTTTATTTCCCGGAATGAAAATTAATTCATTTATTTTTTTTTCCTTCCTAATAATAATAATAATAATAATAATAATAATAATAATAATAATAATAATAATAATAATAATAATAATAATAATAATGATAAACTTAATTTAATTATTAAAAAAAAAAAAAAAAATACTTAGTCATACGTGAATGATATCAAAAAAAAAAATAAATAAATAAACATTATTTTTAATAAATTTTTCATTCGTGAATTTTCATTTATTATTATTATTATTATTATTATTATTATTATTATTATTATTATCATAGTATTGTATTTATGAAATACGCGAGAGTTGAAATAAATAAATCAAATTAAGGGCTTTTTAAAATAAAAAAAAATATTAAAGTGCACGGAAGTGAAAAGAAATGGGAAAAGAAAATGGAGAAAACATTTTTTTGATTTTCCAAAACAAAAAAAAGAAAAGTTTTTGATGTTTTTCTCGCCTACGGGTAAAAAATAAATCAAATAATACCTTTTCAAATAATTTTTAGATCGATATCAATTAAAAATCAATTTTTTCTTTATAATTAATTATTCACACAATTAACGACGCGTTTCCCTTTATCATCTACCACGACACCTTTTAACGGTTTAATTAAAAAGGAAATTTAAAAACAATCATTTTGATTGGTCAGTTGATTGTCGTGACGTCACAACACGCGTAACGTAAAAATGTATGTATATTAATATATATGTAAAGTAGGAAATGACGTAATGAAAATTTTTTAACCAATCAAATTCGTTGAAATTTTCTTTGTTTTCGTTTATACAATACAAACGTTAATTTTTCGTTATAAATAATTTTTAAAAAAAAATGTCTTATAATAAATGGAACCATTAAAGTTTTTTTTTTTTATCGTTTTTTAATTGTGTTAAAATATATATTTTTACATCAAGCGGTGAGGAGGGGGGGGTGAGAGGTGGGGAGTAAAAAACAACAAATTTTCAAACACTTTTAAAAATAATCCATTAGTTGTTATGTTAAACGTCTGATTATAAAAAATTATTACTTTTAATGAAAAATAAAACGCATTAAATTTTTTTTTTTTTTTTTGGCGGGAAACCAATTTTAATTTAAAATATAATTAATGCCTTTAAGTATATTTCACTTTATATAGAATTTTCTAGAATCACATAATTACTTACTTACATGCATTTCTTTGCATAAAATTAAACAAAAAAAAAAAAGTTTTTAATTACTTATTTATTTAACCGAAAAAAAAAAATTTCCCCTTTTTCCTTTTTTCCATTTTTCCATTTTTTTTGTTGGCAAACAAAAATTCGAAATATATCACAAAAAAAAAAAATGTCTTTAGTTACTTTAGGAAATAAATAAAACGTCAGTTGCCCCTCCCCCCAAATAATAATAATAATAAAGTAAAACAAAAAAATTACTGAAAGAGTCATTGACAAATGAATTCCAATTTATTTTAATAAAATAATAATAATAATGATAATGACGATAATATTTTTTTATTATTATTTATTAATAAATAAATTTTTATTTTTAAATCGTCGTCGGTTTTTTTTTACTACATAAATAAATAAATAAATAATTTTATGAAAAACGAAAAAAATAAATCCTTTTTAATTTTTATTAATAATATAAAAAAATTTTATTTTTATTTTGTTTGTTTGTTTGTTTATTTTTATTTATCAAGCATCTTCTGCTTGTGATTTTTTTTTTATAAAAAAAAAAAAAAAAAAGAAAAGTAATTTATTTAATAATTTTTACATTAACTTTTTTTTTAGTGAAAAAAAAGATAAAAAGTTTTCGTACGTGATAATTTATATACGAAATTTTAAAAAAAATTTATTGCGTAGAAAAAAAAATCTTCCCCCCTTTCCCCCTTTCCCCCCGTCTCCCCCATTTCTCCTCCTGTTTCCATCCCGGAAAAAAAATGTTATATTCATATAAAATTCGGGATTTAAGTGGGAAAACGATTTTTTTTTTTTAAATAAATAAATATGAAGTGTCATTAATATTCTAAACGTGTAATCAGATATTAAAAATTGAAAAATTTTTATTCTCTATACGAATATCATTATTATTATTATTATTATTAATAAACAAAATGGCGATAATAAAGAATTAAATAATAATAATAATTTTTTTAGCTTATATGAATAAGAAGAAGAAGAAAATTTTTTTAACAAAATAAAGAAGTAAAGAAAGAAAAGGGGAGAGAGAGAGGGGGGAACCTTTTTCGTAGGGATTATTAAGTTTTTCATTAAGTGTTTTACTAGAGATTCTGACAACCGGAAACAGTTTTTCAGGAAAAACTTTTTTTTTATATATAATTATAAAGAAAAAAAAATTTTTCATAACTTTTTGCAGAAGAAAACGAAAAGATTTTATTTTTCATTATTGTTCTTTTTTCTTTTAGGGGGGGGTGGTGGTGGTGGTGGTGTTGGGGGTGAGAATGGTGGAAAAGAAAAAGATTTTTTGTGGGGGGGAGGAGGGAGGAATCTTATTTCATTATTCAATAGTTAAATTGAACAAAATAATTTAATACGAATCAAAGGTAAAATTTTATATATAAAAAAAAAAGGTTTGTCCTTTTTTTCATAAAACAATGTTAAAATAGATAACGATATTATGATGTCGTCATGACAATGACGTCATAATAAAAGGAACAAAAATAAATAAATTGTAATTAAATAATATTTTTTTCGTTTATTTCATCAAATTTTTTGAAAAAGGAAAAACTGTTTTTAAGGTTTAATTTAAAAATCCTAACGATGTTTATTTCGAGAAAATTCTAAAATTTTCCTGTGGAGGGGGGGGGGATCCGGGTTATTTAATAAAAAAATAAATAAAATTTTTTTTTTTGTCAAGTATTTTATTTTTGGGTTGTTGTTGTTTTTTTTTTCTAGAAAGATTTATCGAGTGTAAAAAAAAAAAAAATTTAACGGTTTTTTTTGAAAAGTGTCGAGAGTGTCAGTGACGTATTAATTTTAACTATTACGTCACTCCTTTTTGGGCACGAATAAAACAACAATTCGTGACACATAATAAAAAAAAAAAAAAAATGTCAATCAAACTTTTTAACTATAAAAAAGCAAAATAACTTTTAAAAAAAAATTCAACTCTTTTTTTAAATTGATAAATTATATAATCTAACTAATTTAACTTGATTTTTAACGGAAAAAAGTAGCCATTTTGTTTTTTTTTTTTTTTTTTACGACGACGACGTTTTCATTTCGATAATTAAATATTTAAATTAAAAATGTTTTTTAACAGGTTAAAAAAAGCAAAACTTTTTCATTTTTTTCTTTCTTTAATTAATTAATTAATTAAAAAATGATTTTAAGAATGCATTTAAACGCATTAATAACGAAAACGATTGTCAAAAAGCAAGCAGAAGACAAAAAAAAAAGAGAATTCAATTATAAAAACTGATTATTTATTATTTTATTTATGTTAAAATCAACGCGACGATGACGTCATGAATTTTAAAATTTCCGTGATTTTATTAATAATAATAATAATTAAGTTTTTTTTATACTTACGTCGACAAAAATCGAATAAAATGTTATTTTAAAAGATCAAAAAGTAAATGAGAATAAAAAAACAAATGGCGGAAGTTTCGAATGACGACAACAATAACAAAATGGCGGCGCGTATAGAACGACGTAAACAAAAAGAAGGAGAAATAAAATGGCGGCCGTTTCAAATAACGAAAACAACAAGTGGGGGGGGGGGGAAAATTTTTGTTTTTTATTTTCCCTAAAGATTATTATACAACAAAATATCATTTTCAAAATCATTTTTTTTTATGTTTGATTTCTTGTCAGCGTTTAAAAAAAAAGTCAATCATTTAAAATTTTTTTTTTTTGTTTTTTGTTTTTTTCAGATGATAAAAATGATGGTGACGGTTGTTTTAGTATTCACAATTTGTTGGCTTCCTTTTAACATTCTTCAAATATTTCTCGATTATGAAATTGTAAGAAATTGGTTGGGACTTCCATATATATGGTTTTCATTTCACTGGCTCGCCATGTCACACGCTTGTTATAATCCATTTATTTATGCATTTATGAACAACAGATTTAAAATCGGATTTATCGGGTGAGTTGTGCCCCCCCCCTCCTTCCCCCCAAAAAAAACAATTTTAACTTACTGAAATGAAAAAAAATTTTCTTTCTTCTGTTGTAGAATATTGTCGAAATTTCGATGCACGAGAAATCTCGTATCGAAATATAATAAAACGGCAATTGCTGGCCTCGCATTAACCGGTATAGAATTCGCTGAATTTTCATTAAATCGAAGGCAGACGACAACAACGACGACGACGTATTTATCAGTTAAGAATAAAAACGATATAAATGCAATTAGACATAACGACGATATGGATTAACATGTTCCCTTATTACATGCATACACTCGTTATATGTTTTTAACACGCGGGAAATTATAATAAACAAAAAGTGTTGCCAACTTAATTATTTTTTTATATTTTTTTATTTTTAAAATATATCTATCTACGTTTATTACTTTTAACGGTTTTCTTTTTTTTTTTTTTATTTTAAATTTTTCCCTTCTTTTCACAAATTAAAACGAAAGAAAATCATTTCAAGAGGATAATTAATCGGGAAAATCGTTTTTATTATTATTATTATTATTAATTAATTAATCAATATTAAAACTTATTTTAATCAAATATTATTAAATCTTAAACATTTCCCTTTTAAAAATCTTTCTTCTTAACGGAAAAAAAAAAAATAATAATGATATTAAAAAACGTTTCTTCCATTATCGGAATTTAATTTTTTTTTTTCTTTTCGGATATTTTTAACGAAAAAAATTAATAATAATAATAATAATTTAAAATTTCACGTGCAGATATTAAAAAATAAAAAAAAAAAAAAAAATTAATCGTCGAAGAATTTTATTATTATTATTATTGTTATTATCAAGGTAATTTTTTTTTTTTTGAGACTGACAAATTGTTAAAAAATATTATTATTATTTTTTTGTATTTTTTTTACGCGCGCGATTAAACAAAAACATTTTCTTTTTGGAAAATCAATTTTGAAATTTTTTTTTTTTTTATTTGAAATAATAATAATAATAGTATTTCTATTTTCACGTCAAAAGAAAAAAGAATCGGATGTGAAATATTTGGGAATGTTTTATAAAAAAAAAAAAAAAATTTCGGTATTTCCGGTTAAAGTTATGAAAAATTTTTAAATTGTGAAAAACCGTTAGAAAAAAAAAATGGAGGCTTGTGTGTGTGTGTGCGTGCGCGTGTTTGACGTTTTAAATGTGTTCTTGTTAAGCAAATGAAATGCGATATTTTTTTTTTTCGTTTGTTTGATTAATTTAATATTTTTTTAAGTAAAAAAAAAAAAAAAAAACTTTCTAGAAAAAATTTTGTTGACACGATATAATAAATTTTACATCATTTTATCACAGAAAAAAAAATAAAAAAAAAAAATTTCCATTATTTTATTCCGGTTTTTCTTTTTTTTTTCCAATGGAGACTTGGGCAAAAAAAATGATATTAATAATGATAATAATTTTTCCTGTATTTCAACAAAAAGAAAAAAACGGTTTGGGGGGGCTCGGGGGGGGGGGGGTGATTGGGAATTAACAATCATTTACTGACTCTATGACAAGATGTCGGATAAGAAGAACGGAGTGTAAAAATATTATTTTTTATTTCAAATTCATTTGTTTTTCTAAATCTAAAAATCTTATATAGAAACTAATTTATTGATAGAAATATTAGTTACAACAAACTAAAACCTACTATCCAAATAATTTTTTTTTTATTTATTTTTATTTACCAAATCACAAAGCGGATAATTTTTCATGAAACCTTATTTTTCTTTTCCTTTTTTTCCCTTTTTTTTTTGTTCATCTGTCAGTTGACAAGAAGAAAGAGAAGAAGAAAGGAAAAAAGAAGAAAAGCTCAATTTAATTGCTTCTTAAATCTTCGCATCTTTCCTCCAAGTCATCCTGAAATAATAATAAAAACGTTTTTTTTTTTTTTTTTTTTTTTTTATTCTCTTCCTTCTGTTAAACTAATATAAAGCACGTTCAGTAATTTTATGTTTTTTTGCTAACAAAAACTCTGATTGGTTGAATTATTTTGTGTGACGTAAGAGACACGAATTTGTATTTTATGTAAAAAACCGAACGAGAGTCGATTTTGTAATAATTATTTGTAACGATTTTTTTTATAATAATCGTTTGATTATTATTATTATTGAAGGGTAAAATGGGGGGAGGGGGAGACATTAACGGAATTAAATTACAATTAAGTAAAATTTTTTTTTTTAATTATCAAAGAAAGACTAAAATGTCGTCGACCGTTTTTTTAATTGTAAGAAAAAAAAATTTTCTTTTTATTTCCTTTCTCGTTTTTTACTTTTCCAATCAAAATTTTTCTTTTTCCATTTTCCTTTTTTATTATTATTCTTTTTTTTTTTTTAACCTTTTGCAGAAACAAAAAAAAAATTATCTGAACCGGAAATAATTCAAATTGTATTCTCTCTCTCTCTTTTTTTTCTTTTTTTTTTTTTTTTGTTTTATTAACCGTTACTTTTATTATTATTATTATTATTATTATTATTTCATTTGTATTAAAACACCGAAAATGCTTAAAATTTATAATAATAATAAAAAAATAATAATAATGATGAAAGGGTTTCGTTTGTTTGTTTGTTTGAAAACGATATTTGAAAGAAGTTAAAAAAAAAAAGAAAAATGACGGAATAATAAATAATAATAATAATAATAATAAATGGGGGGGGGGGGAAAAAGGTTAAAAAAGAAAGAAACGAATGAGGTTGAGGTCAAACAAAAAAGAATTATGCAAAATGTCGGATGAAAAAGGAAAAAAAAGGAAAAAAAAAAGAGAAAAAAAAGTTCGTTAAAAGGTGAAAAAATTTTCTTTTTTACTTGAAAAAAAGGCAATTATTATTATTATTATTACTTTAATCTTATTATTATTATTTTTTTTTTTTAATTAAACGAAACGATTGTTATGAATTGAAAAAAAAAAAAAAAAAGAAAATCCAATGTTGCCAATTTTATTTTTAATATAATTATAAATAAAAAATCAATTTATTTGTTTATTTCTTCTGACACGTTTTTCTTTTTTTTTTGTAAAGAAAAATTTAAACTTGAGAAAAAACTTTAAATTAATAATAATAATAAAGTTAAAAGTTGAAAAAAGAATTTTTTTTCTGTTTTTTTGCGACAAAAACAAGAAAAAAAGAAGAAGAAAATAATAAATTTTTTAATTTAATGTAAACAAAATTTTTTTTGTTTCTGCGATTTTCATCTCTTACGTCACGTCACGTGATAACGTCTAATTGATAAAGTGATAAGAAAAAAAACAGGAAAACTCACCTCTGGAAGTTCCAAACATTTTCCCCATTCGTTAAGTGAAATTTTATGATCGTTATTTTCGTCGCATTTATCCAAAAATGGAGCTATGCAATGTTCCAATGCGAGAAGTGGAGCTCTGATTGGGAAAAGTTCGTGTCTTGATACGCTCCTGAAATTATATTTATAAATTTCTTTCTTTTTTTCTTTCTCCCTTCTCTATTGCGGTTTTTTTTAAAATTTGAGTAGTTAAACAAAAACAATTTTAATAACTTTTATATAAAATTAAAACGAAAATCTCGTTAATAATAATAATATTTCTTTTTTAAAACAAATAATTACGCGCGAAAAAAAACCGTTAAAAAATATACGCGTGAAAACAATCGATGACGTCAGTTAAAAAAAAAATGGCCGACGATGCAAATAATGCATCGTAATGAGGAAGGGAAGGGGGAAGGATGGGGAAAAAATTCCAAGAAAAGTAAATAAAAAAAAAAAAAATTTAAGTTGGACAACCTGAAAAGTAAACAAACGACCGCGTCGGGTGCGCGTTCGATCACACACAAATTTGATAATTTGAATTCTCGACACGAACGAAGTTTTTTCAAATTCTTTTTTTTTTTTTTTTAAATATTAATAGTTTTCGAAATGTTTTTTTTTTTTTCTTTTCGAATTTGTTTTTATTGTTATTCGAAAATGTTTTTACATAATAATTTTATTACCGTGCGTGTTTTTTACCGTTAAAAAGAACAAAAAAAAGTTTTAAATGATAATGATACTTACGATTTGTAACGGTTTTTTAATAACAACAACATTAATGATGATAATAATTGGATAATAAAAAAAGTTTTAATGATAATAATGATGAATTATTGGAATGAATATAAATATTTTTACTAAATATCGTTACTTTTTTGGTATGATAATAATAATAATAATTAAAAATGGATTCCCAGTTAAGTAATTTTATTATTTTTGCTTTTTTAGTTTAAAATTAGAATTAAGGTTAAGAGTAAATTTTTTTTTATTAATATTTTCTATTTGTAAATCTTTTAAGATTATCGATTTTAATATAATCTTAAGAGAGAAAGGTAAGAATTATTTTATTAAATATTAAAAATCTCATTTTATAAAATGGTGGTGGAAAATTTTCTATTTTTCTCTCTCATGGAAAAAACCCCCATTTTTTTTTTTTTTTTTTTTCGATGAATTTTTAATATTAATTTACTGGTGTGAATAAATGAATGAATGAATAGTTATTAAAAACATTCATTGATTGATTGATTGATTTTTTTTATAAACGTAATTAAAATTTAAAAAAAAAAAATTTTTTTTTTTTTTATTAACGAATGTTATCATGGGTCAAAGAGATGTTAGTGACGTCATTTAAAAATTTTAATTTGAAATTTTTTTATGTGTGTTTTTTTGACACGGCTCCCCTTCCCCCCCCTCTCTCTCTCTTTAAGAAATAATAATAATAATAATTTGTAAAAGGGTTTTTAATTTTTCCTTCTGATTATTGTATATAAGAAAATAAGGGATGAAGAAGAAAGAGGAAAATCTTTTGATGCCTTTTGTAAAACAAAATTAAAAAAAAAAAAATCTAGGATGTAATATTAATAAAAATAAAAATAAAAATAATAATAATAATAATAATAATAATAATAATAATAATAATAATAATAATAATAATAATAATAATAATAATAATAATAATAATAATAATAATAATAATAATAATATAAGGGTTGAAAAGTGACAAAAGGAAAACTTCAATTTTATTTTACATCATCTTCATATAAGGAAACCTTTTTTTTTTTTTTTTTTTTTCAAACGTTGTCGGCGGAAGTTTTTTGTAATTTTAAACGAATCTTAAAAACCGTTAAAAAATTTTCTTATTTAAACGTTTTACTTAAAAATTCTGTCATTAAATTAATTTAAAAAAAAAAAAATGGAAGAAGAAAAAAAAAAATGGGAAACAAACGGGAGAATAAAAAATTCAAAGTCACGTAAACGGATTTATACGTATTCGTTATTATCGAATGCCCCCCTCCT